TTTTGCCACTTCTAAAAAGTTGGAGAAGTAAAAATTCTGTTGAAGCTAGATAGTGGCATTGTCCCAGGTAGCCTTATTTCCGAGCAAGTCTAACATTTCAGATTCTTTCTTCCTTTTTACTCTGAGCTGTTACTGTAAGTGGTATATAAAACCTCTGTGCATTTTTATGTACAGACCTGCTAATGTGCACAATAAATCCATACTTTCTTTTTGTTTTTATATAAACTGAGAAGCAATCAAGAAAGATAATGTGAACAAGAAAGGAGTTTTAGAGGTAGGGAAAAGACAAATGTCAAGCATTTGAAGAACTATAGGAAAATGATAAACACTTTAAATATACTTGAGAAAATTTTCTTGACAAGCAAATGAGGTAGGTCTGATCTTTGAAATAGTGAATAGAAATACAGTCCGTTTCTTCAATGATCCTCAATTGGAATGAGGCCGTGGGATCACAAGAAAGCAAAATGTAGTGGAATTCATTAGTGAACATGAATCCCTCACCTCGGATCTGCCTCCAGGATTGTTGACACCGTGGGATTGGGACTGTGATGTTCCGAGCCATTGACTGAACTGGCAGAAATGATGACTACAAGTTGAAATTCCACCTTGTGAGTAGGAAATGAAATAAAGGATCCCGAGAGGATTTTCTACTGTGTCCTGTGTGTTTGACTTCACATAGACTGTTTGTGGCATCGTTATTCATACATAATTAAACAGTGCAGTGGGAGTCCATGGATAAGATTATAAAGCTTCTGGGTTTTTAAAACCCAGTGTCCAGAACATATCCATATTTGCTAATTTAATAAATCTGTACTTAAGAATATCCTTTCTCTATGCAGTTTGGGCATCTGCAGGTCATCTAAAGATATTTTTGAGACAGGTTTCAGTTRGAAAATCCAAGGCCTAAGAGGCCCTGGAGGATCGGGTCCCCACCTCCCTCCTCTGCATTATCTCCTTACCCTTTTCCTTTTACATCCCATCCCATATTCATATTGCAGCCCCACTGACTTTCTGGTTATCGAACACACCGGTGGCATTCCCAGGACAGGACCTTTACACCTGCTGCCTCCTTAGATTCAGATCACCCATCTCTCATGCTCAGGAAATGAGTGTAATACCATCTCAGTGAGGCCTTCTCAGTGTCTCCACTACTTGAAGTAGTCCTCACTTGAGTCCCTAGCTCATTCCCTGTTTTATTCTTGTTAGGCATTAACATTTGTATTTTGTTTGCCAGGGCCGTTGCCCAAATTTCAGCCACATGGGTGGTTTGCAATGGCAAACTTAACTCATGGTTCTGGAGGCCAGAGTCTGAAATCAAAGTGTCCGCRGGGCTGTGTTCCCTCCAAGGTCCCTGAAGGAGAATACTTACATGCTTCCGGTTTCTGGTGACACTAGGAGTGCCTTAGCTTGTGGCTCACTCCTATCTCTGCCTCCAACTTCAGTATGGACTCTGCCTCTTTTCCCTGGGTCTCCCCTTGGCATGTCTCTTATAAAGACACTTGAATCAGATTTAGAGCTCTTCACAATCCAGGATGATCTCTTCTTGAGATTCTTAATGACAGCCGCAAAGACACTTCTTCCAAATAAAGTCACATTCACAGGTTCTGGGGGTTGGGGGGTAGATCTATCTTTTGAAGGGCTACCATTCCACCCTCAGCTTCGTTTGGCCTTGTTTGTACATCGCCCCTCTCTCCTAAGCAGGAATGTAAACTCCATGAGAATAGCACTCTGATCTGTCTCCTTTACTGCTGTTGACAGGGACCTAGAAGGGTAGAGTCTGGTATACAATAAATGCTCAGTAATTATTTGCTTAACAAATTAGAGGCTGGTAGTTTTAATCAAAAGGAATATTCACCTGCAAAAAAAAATTTGCAAAAATATAAGAATAGCTAATACTTAATGGATGATGAGTTGAGCAATTTGCCCAAGATTCTATATTCATTTAATAATGGCAGGGCCAGCGCACAAATCCAGATGTTTCTAGCTCCCCAAATCTCTGCAATTTAGCATTAAGTTGTACTGCTGCAAATCTCTGATTCTCATGTTTTCTCTTTATTTCTTTGCTTACCCACAGCATATGGTTATGTGGTCAGGAAATGAAAATAACTCCGCTTAGCTAGAAACAAGCTGATTTTTTTTTTCTAGCAATGAAAACCTGTTTTTAGGAAAAATGAGAAACTTGCTAACCTTATGTAACCTAAGCATAAGCATAACATTTTTATAGGGTGCTAATATTATTTTTCCTGAAAAAGGGAATACTGGTTGATTTATTAAGTTGTACATAGTAGGACGCTAGATATATTTGGAACATTAGGTTTTTCTTTTCAAGTCAGTGCACATAAGAAGAGTAATCTTCAAAGAGACTTAAGCTTCTGGGGCTGAATTTAACACTATTTAAAGAAAGAAAACCTTAGCCAGGGGATATAGCTGTTAACATGGTGATTTGTAAAACCTTAGATTTCTAATAAGGTCTGACTGTTTCAAGGAAAACATATTTTGTTTCTAGGTAACATTTCAACTCTGATTATGAACAAATGCTACAAAATTGATCTGTAATGGGAAATACTGTAATGTCACAAGGCATTATTTAATGCTTAATGTGACTGAAAGCATTAATTGCTAGGAGCCATATTCTGTCTAAGCAAAACATGAACACACATTTTGTACCTCTCATCTCTTCCTGTAGGTTTCTGAAGGAATTCGAGTGTAACAAAAATGTAGTTAGAAAATCTGCGGTACCTGAAGATTTTCTTCACCTGCTTGATTATTGCACTTGTCCTCTTGTTAGCAAACGCACGAGTCACATCTGCTYAGAAGTACCCAGGCAAACGGCGGGAGCAACATGGCTGCTTATTAGCAGCTCAGCTAAAATAGCTTGTGAAGAGTGAAGTAGTAAYGGCTGACAATTTTTCTTTTAAGTCTCTCTAGATTTATTTTTGCCACTTTATAATAAAATCTCGGCTTTCTCCAAGAACATGCATATGAGATCTGGCTGTCCCTTTCTGTAGTTTTAAAACAAATTTATAGTGCTAGAATTTCCCAGTAAAATCCAGGGAGTGCCATAATATTCACTGCTTTGACTCACAGTGAAGTATTAAAATTTAAGCACTAGAAAGATGATGTGATCAGTTCTTAAACTTATGAGATTTACCCAAACGTGAGTTCTGCGGGGGACACACACCCAAGGTGTAAAGCATCCCTCCCCCATCCCAGGCTGTTTTCTTACCTCTGTCATTTTTCTCACATAAAATAGAAAACATTGTCTGATTTCCCATAGAATTGCATCAAAGAAAATGAATGTAACAATAGGGTATTTTCCAACCTTGAAGATGTCTGTGTAAGCGGGTGCATAATACATTTCTTCTAGGATAAATTCTAGTAGCTGTATACCAGGCACAATGCCAGTACTTGCAGACATTTCTCATGCAACTCTTTCAACTACCCTATGAGGTTGGTATTTGAAAGAAAGAGAATGAATGGGTTATGCTAGGTAACAAACAGCCCTACCATCCCAGGGTTTTGAAGCAACAGAAGCTTAATTGTTTTTGCAAAGCTGGCTGGGGGCTGGGCCGTTGTTCATGGCAGCAGTAGTGCACATCTACCACAAACAGCAGATCACTCACCTAGCACGTGTGAGGCCCTGGGTTTGATTCGGCACCACATAAAAATAAATAAAATGAAGTTATTGTGTCCAACTACAATTAAAATAAATATTAGAGAAAAAAAAAAAAAGAAAGCCAAACACAGGTAATTGAATGCTACCTCCTGAAAGTGATCCATGTCATTCTTGCCCACTGACATTGTTCAAAGCAAGTCACATGGCCATATCTAATTTGAAGAGAGCAGGGGAGWGCAATCCTTCTGTTGAAAACATTGGGGGACAGTACCTGTGGTCACTACAGCATTATTTTCCCTATGTCACAAATCAGGGAATGTAGAGGAAAGTAATATTCAAAGTCACACAACTCATAAACAAGGTGACTCTGTCATTGATGGTTCAGACCAAGACACCATTGACAATGAAAGGGGCCAGTTTTAATTGATATCTCTCCAAATCCTGGCCCACCTTCCCTGCCCATTTTGGAATTTTAGCAACAYCCACTCCATTCTTCTGGCTGTGCCTCTCCCCGTGGTTGAGAACGTCCTGGGCCAAAGGGTTTTGCTGACTCAGAGCCAGGGCCACCTTTTCTAGATATGCCTCCAAGTCCTCATAAGACCCCAGAAGTGCATGCCCCAAAGACCCCAAACATCTTCAAGCCCTGGTTGGCCTCTTCCCCAGGTATTCTTCCAAAAGGCAGGCAAAGTAGTAGGCACATGCTTAGCTAGTTAGACTAGCCAAATGTCAGCTGTTGGAGAGTGGACTCAATTTGATCATGCAAGCCGATCAGTGGAGAGTGGACTCAATTTGATCATATACACTCCAATCGTTTGAATATGTTCCCCCAAAATTCATATGCTAAAATCAAAGTCCCAATGTAATGGTATTAAAAGGTGGGACCCTGTAGAGGGGATTAAGTCATGAGGATTAGTGCCCTTATAAAGGGCTAGAGAGAGCTAGTGAGGTCCTTCTTTTGCCTCTCTACTCTTCCATCATGTGAGGACACAGCCACAAGACAACATCTTGGAAGCAGAGAGGAATACTTGCCAGACACCAAAGCTGTTGCTGCCTTGATCTTGGATGTTCCAGCCTCCCAAACTGCAAGAACTTCCTTCTTATAAATTACCCAGGCTAAGGCATTTTGTTACAGCAGCAGGAATGGACTAAAGTATACACCTACACGAAGCCCATTGAGAGAGAGAAAAAGGGTGGAGTGACCCATGGACTATTTGGCAGTTTTACCCCTCTCTGGAACCCACAAGTATTAGCCCATGATGCTGGGATAATCAGAACTATTCCGGGAGAACTTAGACATGTGGTTTCCCTGCAGAGAAGGCAGATCCAGATGCAAATCCAGGTCTCACTCATGGTGGACCTGTTGTCTTCATCATTCCACTGAATTGCCTCTGATTAAGAATTTTTTGGTCAAACTACCACTACTATCCCCATAATTTTCAAAGACTGGTGGTATAGAATGGTGTAACATAAAAATTCAGGTTTACTGTGATGAGATGCATAGCTGGCAACACAGAAAGATGGATTCAAAGACCCAGCTGGATTAGAGTTCTAGCTCTGCCGGGCAGAAGTTTCACAGTCTGGGTGGACAGATCACTTCCTCCTGAGGAGCCTGTCCTGATTCCACTGTGGGCATAATAATAATAATAATGATTACAAAACTCAACACTCAGAGTAGTTATGTAACTAAGGTGAGATAATGCATGTGGCCTTGAAGTTGGAGGTGATGCATGAGTACTAGAATTTCTCCTCACTGACCTGCTTGAGAAGGTCAAGTGTCAGAGGTCATGTAGAYAATGCCTGCAAACATCAGGCTGCTGGTTAATAGTCTTCCAAGCTTTAGAATCACTGTGTGAAGTGTTTCTAAAATCTAAAAATTGATCTAGTTGAAATTTGATTGGTTTTAATGGCAAAGGGATAGCACTTGGATTTGTGTATATCACAGTGAGGATATTCCAAAGCTATTTATATATGGTAGGGATTTGGAACTCAGTTCCATAGCAGACCAAGAGTCTCCATTTATTTAAAAGCATTCAGGAGTCCAACTGGAAAAAGGTCTTTAGGGATCATGTTTTCCAGATAAGGCAACTGAGGTCCAGAGAGATAAAACCCACAGTTTTCTGTGGGTCAGGTTGAGGCTGAGACCAATTTTGAACTCAAGCCCCTTTTCTGCCTCCAAGGATCTTCTTCGAAGCTTTAACATTCTCATCTGAAAGATGTTAATGATGACATTGGCCATACAGAACAAGGATAAGGATCAAGTAAGGTCATGACCACAAAGCATTTTGTGTAGGTGGCACTCAGTAAGTGGCAACCAWTTTTGTTTTTATCCCAAAGGATGGTCTTCACATATTTCAGCATCAAAGATTCACTTTATTCATAGCTACTCTTGGCTTCAAGTATGGATCTAACAGATAAGCATCAAAGGATTGTTTTTTGGTTGTTTTTAAACATATGAAATGAAGGTGATTTTTCCAGCACCAGAGTTCACATCCCTACTCCCCACCCCATCCCCCATAGGCCACATGATTATTAGCTGAAAGAAGCTGAAGACATTTAATGAGTCATTTCAGATCAATGATCTTCAACCAGGCCCAGCTGGTGAGATATTGATAAGGAAATGTGCAATCCAGAGAAGAGCAGTTGACTTACAGGAAGTGAATGGGGCTCCTTTGCAGAAATGGATCCTCCAGGGCCTGGGCTGGCCTGGGCCTCAGGGTTGGTGCAGGCTGGAGAGGCAACATTATGTGGTGGCTAAGAGCATGGGCTTCCGAGTCCAGTGGCCTTTCTTTGGCTGCTGCTTCCACTCTGCAAACTTTACTTTCCTCTTTTGTAAAAGGGCAGCGAGAACAATACCTGTCTCGAGAGGTTGGCTGTGATGGTCCAAGGGATACATTGTGCAAAAATACTTGGCCCAGGGTCTGTCTTACGCAAGGAGGTGATTCATTGACAGAGCTAGATGACTCTTAAAAAACTTCGAAGAAGTTAACAGCCATTTAAAAGGCAAAAGGTATATCTAATAAATCAAAAGAAATTTCAGAGAGGATAATCTAAACTTTATTTTACGAGCAATTCCATAGAGAGTGTACCCAATTCACACAGAAGCTGGGATCATCAGCTTCATSAGGCCCTTCCTGAAGTCTTCGGGGAGCCCTGCTGGCTTGCTGGTGGCTGGATTCACAAAGACGTGGACTGAAGACCCCGTGGTACAGGCCAAAGCATCAAACTGAGCCAATTTAGGATGGCCAAAGAAAAAGCCATCAGAGAGGTCACAGTGATCTACTGAAGGTGGCTCCTCCGTGTGCTTAGGTGGAAACAGAGCCAGTCGGTAATGCACGCTGGAGTGACCCACTTTCTCCACTGACAAGGCAGCCACAGGGATCTGAGGGAAGCTGATGGGTGAATAGTAGGTGCACTGATTGGTCACCATGAACCCCACCATCGGGGACGACAGTAGGCTGGTTTTCAGGCCACAGTACCTAGAAGGGAAAATCACAATGCATGCTCCAGGTTGTCAAGGCACTGTCCCCCAGCCCAAAGGCAGTGTGCTTCAATGATCAAGGGCCCTAGCCCCAAAGGGCCTTATTTAAATCCCAGTTCTGAGCCAGACCTGGTGGCACACAGCTCTAATCCCAGTGACTCCAGWGGCAGGAGGATTGCAAGTCTGAGGCCAGCCTCAACAACTTAGTGAGGCCCTAAGCAACTTAGCAAGACCCTTCTTAAAATAAAAAAAATAAACAAAAAGGGCTGGGAATGCGGCTCAGTGGTAGAGCACCCCTGGGTTCAATCCCCAGTATCTAAATCAATCAATCAATCAATCAATAAAAATAAATCTCAGTTCTGCCATTTACTAGCTGAATTACCTTGGGCAAGATACTAAATTCTCTGTGCTTCGGTTCCTACAATATATATATACCTCATAAATGTGAGAATTAAGAGGTGAGTGTACACCATTTACTATAGCAACACTAAACATTGACTTTTCTAATATAATTATGTCCATCTTGTCCTTGCTTCATGATGAAAGAGGCAGGAACTTTGGTGCTAAATAAGAGAGAAAACTCACTTATCAGGTTCAATGAGTTATTGTGTCTCTCGTCTGCTWCTAGATTCCCATCTCTTTAAGGATAGGAGCTGTGTCTCATTCATTTTTAAAGTCTGTCGAATAGAAATGAATTGGCACTTGCGATAAGATCTGGCGGGCAGCGAGAATGGGAAATGGAAAGCGTCATGCTGCTTTCCAGCCCCTCTCCACCTTCCCACCCATTTGTGATTTAAACATTTTCAGCACATCATCTTATTGTCTCCTTTTCTTGAAAATATATTAAGATTGAATGTGAGGATTAACTGTGAGGGAACAGCTACGTGCTGTGTATAGGTCTGACTACCAAGTTGTTCATGGAGGAGAAACAGACACAGACCCCAGGCTCCACTCCGAGAGGGCACTGAGTGGCTGTGGGCAGCCACCCTGGGAACCCATCGCTGTCACCCATGGTGACATTAGATATGTTCCCTTCCTCCCTTGGAACAAGCTGTAGAATGAAAAAAGATCCCATTACAGAACAGTAGGTCCTGTCCCGCGAGATCTCATTTGCTATACTAGAACATATTAGCTTATGGCCATATTGACTTAAACAAAACCTTGGATGGATAAACTGCAAAATGTTCTCCGCACTTATCTCATAGGAGAATTTGGGGGAAATGTGGGGTTTTGGTGGGGGGGTTGTTTTTTGCTTTTTTAAAAACTTGTATGAATGTTCTAAACTGAACATGATTTGCCTTCAAATGAAGAAAAACGTTTTTAAATGACAGTGAAGTTCATTTTTTTTTTATAAAATAAAAGCTTCAAGAGATGAGCCATTTGGATTAACAAGACTCCTTTTGTCCCTGAGCACCTCCTGCCACCCACCTGAAGGCTTCCTCATAAGTACTAAAAGGCTACCTTAGTGCTTTTGGAATGTTGTAACAAAAATATCATAGACTGGGTGGCTTATCAACAATAGAAATTCGTTTCTCACAGTTCTAGAAGCGAGGATGTCCAAGATCAAGGTGCCAGTAGAATGGTGTCTGTTGAAGTTCACTTCCTGGTTCACAGACAGCATGACTCTGTCGTCACATGACAGAAGGGATGAGGGAGCTCTCTGGGGTCTCTTTTATATGGGCACTGATCCCATTCATGAGGGTCCTGCCCTTGAAACTAATCAATTCCCGAATGCCCCATCCAAATACCCTTGCATTAAAGATTAGCTTTCAACACATGAATGGTGGGACGCATGCATTCAGTGCATAGCAGAAGGAGGAGGGGAAAGAGAAGAGCCTTGCTTTGCAGCTTGACCCCAAGATCCAGTGAGAATCAAATTCTCCCATTTTCTTTCCCCTAGCCTCTCTGTTGCTATTGCCTTTCTATGCTCTGCCACAATTTTCCTCTTTCTTTTAAGAGAGCAGACAGTAAATAAATGGTGCCTCTTCCCACCAGGAGAGTAATATTTCATGAGCTCCTTGTTTTCTGTGTGAGCTCAGACACGAGGCTTTTAAATAATTGAAATGCAGGAGTGCATTTAAGCCAAGCCATCAACTGAGCACCTGTTATATGTCAGGCCTGTGCTCGGTGCTTTACACTTTATATTCATTTCTCAAAATAACCCCTGCAAGGTGTTTAATTTCCCCTAGTTTACAGGGAAGAAAATAAAGCAGAGCGGTCGAACAAGTTTCCCAAGGTTGCATGGAGTAAATGGTGGACTTGAACCCAAACTTCAGGCTCTCTAGATACAAGTTTCCCACTTTTTGCTCCACCCCAGATTTCCAAATGGTGAAACAAAAATCTATATTTTAGTTCAGTAGATGAACTGCATTTTCTTTAGGTGATTCTGTGACTGTGGAGAAGCTTCATTACATTAGACAATGTGCCCCAGGTTTGCAGTGTGTTTGGGTTTAGTGGTAACAGAGGGTCCCTAGTGAGAGTTTTTTGAACTATGGCTTTTCTTTTAGATTTTATTTTATTTTTTATCAAGGTGTGTATAGGTGTACATACTTTCAAAAAGACAACTAGTTGCTCAAGTCTTATCACAAAATAAACAAAACAAAACAAAAAAAAAACCACAGCATATTTCTGGCCGATTATATATTCATTAGTTATAGATGTTCTTAGAATTAGTTGTAGATGTTCAAGATGAATTCATTTATTATGCAACCTCCACTGCTCTTTGTTAGATGCTGAGTGCTGTGGTTTGGATAAGTGTTCCCCAAAGRCACTGTGTTAAAGCATTGGTCCCTGGGGTAGCTCTATTGGGAGGTGGTGTAACTCTTAGTAGGAGGGGTCTCCCGGAGAGCCTTATGTCATTGAAGACACACTAACAAAAAGAATTGTGGGCTGGACTCGGTGATGCACACCTGTAATCCC